CTGCAACCCACATCCACCGGTCTTGGGGAAGACGATCACCTGATCTATTGTCCCCTTGACGTAGCGCAGCAGCCGCTTCACCGCGGCCCAGTGATCCTCTCGGGGATGCTCCATGAAGCGGCTGACGTAGCCCACGATGAACGCAATGTCCGACCTCGTGTGGACTAGATAGCGCAGACCGCCGACGATGCTCCGGTAGAGTGTTGCTTCTACCTTCGCCGTGGTACTGGCCTTCGTCAGCTTCAGCCGCTCCTCCATCGAAGTCACGCACGACTTGCACTCAGCCATGCCATTCCGCTCCAACAGCTTCGAGGAGTACGCGCTTTGACCGAGCGTGAGTGTCTCCTTCCCCTGTCTCACCTCGAAGTCGAGGTAGTAGGAGAGTGCGGCGAGATCGCTTATTCGAAAATGAGCCACCATCTCACGCTTGAAGCTGTCGATGTCCTCCGCACACGCGCCGGTGATGATCAAGTCGTTTAGATACACACCGACGATGAGCTCCACATACGCGTGTAGAGCGCGTGCTCGGTTGCGCACCACATGAACCCAAGCTCGCCCAGCGTGGCATCAAGCTTGGCGTTCCACGCTTGCGGGACCTGCCGCAGCCCGTAGAGCACCTTGCGCAGTCGGACCACCCTATGCTTCACTCCCTTGACGGCGAAACCCGGAGGTTGCCTGACAAAGGCCATCTCCGCCAGCTTGCCGTTGAGGAAGGCCGATTTTATGTCCAGGTGATGGACGCGCCAGTCCTTCGCTACTGCTAAAGCCAGCAGTAGTCAGATAGACTCCATGCGCGCTACCAGCGCAAAGACTTCCTTAAAGTCGATGCCCTCGCGTTGGACAAAGCCTCGAGCGACGAGGCATGCCTTGTGCTTGACAATGGCGCCGCGCTCGTCCCGCTTGACCTTGTACACCCACTTCAGGCCGATCGGACAGCATCCTGGAGGTGGATCGACGGGCTCCCAAGTCTCATTTTCCTCGATCACCTTCATCTCCTCCACCATCGCCCGTCGCCAATTTGCATCGCGCTCCGCCAGCGCGAATGTGGGTGGTTCCTCTGCATTGATGAGAAGCAGCTCTGGGTCATTGAGCAGCCGACCTGCCAGGCCTGAGGACCCTGTGCCGCTAACGATGTCGTCCAGCCTATGGAACCGTACCTCCTCACCGTCGTGGAAGGCATCCACGAAATCGGTGATATCGCTTGGAGGTGAGGCAAACTCGATCGACGTCGATGGAGTCCCCTGTTCCGCCGGAGTGGTCGGCACAACACCTGGAGTGCTCGGCACCCCGGCTGCAGTGCTTGGCACTAGTCTTGGATCGCTCGTCACCACTCCTGGAGTAGTTGGCACCACTGCAGGAGTGCTCAGCACCAGTCTTGGAGTGGTCGGCACCACTACAAGACCTCTCGGCTCTGCTATGGGAGCGTTCGGCACCCGTCCTGAAGTGGTCGGCACCACTACAGGACCGCTCGGCACCGCTCCCGGAGTGCTTGGCTCTGTTGCTGGAGTTGTCGGCACCTCCTCTCCAACATCTCCACCACCGTGGATGACCAAATGCTCGACGACGAAGGTGCTGGTGAAGCCACCAGCTTCCCTCGTGCCCGGACTGTCCCAGTCCCAGACCGCCTTCTCATCGAACACGACGTCGCGTGAGACAACCACCTTGCCTCCGCGTGGGTCGTAGAGCTGGTACGCCTTGGTACCTTCCTCATAGCCCAGGAGCACCATCGGTGTGCTCCTGTCCTCCAGCTTCGTGAGGACTGATTTCATCTTCCTGACGTGGCCGATACAGCCGAATGTCCAGAGGAAAGACATGCTCGGCTTGCGCCCATACCAAGCTTCGAACGACATCATTCCCTTCAGGGCCTTGGTGGACGCGCGGTTGAGTATGAACACCGCTGTGGTCACCGCCTCTTCCCAGAACTTTGCCAGCATGCTTTTGGCCTTCATCATGGATCGAGCCATGCTAACCACCATCTGATTCCACCGCTTCACCACGCCATTCTGATGTGACGAGTACGGTGTGGTATGGTGTCGCACCACACCCTGATCCACGCAGTACGCAACAAACTCCACTGAAGTTAATTCGTCACCGCGATCAGTCCACAGCACGCGTAGCTTCTTGCCGCTCTCCGCGTCCGCGCGCGCCTTGAACTTCTTGACCGCTTCTGCTGCCTCGGCCTTGCTCGCCAGGAGTTGCAGCTACATATAGTGACTGCAATCATCCACGAGCAGGAGGAAGTACCGCCGACCACCGTTTATGGCTGGCATGATTGGCCCGCAGAGATCGCCATGGACAAGCTCGAGAGCATCCACCGCGCGATACTTGGCCGTCTTTGGGAACAACAGCCTCCTCTGCTTCCCGACCAGGCATCTATCACATAGGCCGCCTGCGTGCTTGATGTGGGGCAGCCCTCGGACCATCTTCTCCAGCCGACCGAGCGCGTCGAAGTTGATATCGTCGAACCGGGCATGCCACAGCCACGACTCCTCTGTGTGCCGTGCAGCCAAGCAGATGGGCTGCTCCACCTTCAAGTCGAGCAGGTACAGCTGGTTCCAGGACATCTTCACCTTGGCAAGAAGCCGCTGCTCCCGGTCCCTGATCCCGAGGATGCCGTCCTTGATTAGTACCTCGCTGCCGCGCTTATCCAGCTAGCCAATGCTGATGATGTTTGAACACAACTGCGGGATGTACTATTCATCTGTCAGCACGCGGTGCTCGCCGTTCTGGCACCTGAAGATGATGGTGCCACGCCCTCGGATCGCCACCCTTGAGCCCTCACCGAACTTCATCGTGCCGGTCACGTTGCCGTCGAGCTCGGAGAAGGCTACCTTGGAGCCCATCATGTGGTTGCTGACGCCAGAGTCTAGGTACCACCGCTACTCCTGCTCGCCGCCCACACGTTCGAGGTGGACTTGGGCGCGCGGTTCGTCGAGGTTGACAGCCTTCAGAGCCTTGCCATGCCGTTCCACCGCCATCACCTCTCCCTTCTCCTTGGCCTCAACGTCATACAGTGCACAAAACGTCACCATTAGGAGAGTGGCCTCATCATCCTCATCAGCCTGTGCTAAATGAGCCTCAACCTTCTTCTCCTGCTTGCGATTTGGGCACTCTTTTGCCCAATGGCCCGTCTTTCCGCATTGCCGACAGGCGTTGGGGTCGACATCCTTCTTCTTCTCTGAAGAAGCCTTGCCGCGTCGCTTGTCATCGCCACCGTGGCTGGAGGAGGCTTCCCCGGACTTATTCTCCTTCATCCGGGCAGCCCACTTATCCTCTGTCAGCAGCAGCTTACTGCTGTCCATTGTTGCTGTGGCCTGCTCCATGCGCTCGTCCACCGCCCGCAGACGGCCTGTCACATCCTCAATGGTGGGGGTGGACAAGTCCAGCATCGTCTCTATGAAGAGAGCGATCTGGATGTACTTCACCGGCACGGAGTGGAGGTACTTGGAGACCGCCTCTTCATCGATGGTGATGCCGTGGCTCCTCAGCTTGCTGATGAGCGACTGCAGGCGGAAAGAGAAGTCCTCCACCGATTCACCATCCTTGAACTTGAAGTTGGCGTACTCCTGCTTCAGCAGCTGGGCCGTCGCCTTCTTTGCGTGGTCGGAGTCGACGCGTATCGCTGCAATGGCCTCCCACGCTTCCTTAGCAGAGTTCTTCGCCCCCAACGGCTCTCTGTACTCCGTTGGCACAACAGTGAGGATAGCCTCCAATGCTGACATGTCGTCTTTTTCGTTGTCGGTGCCCTTGTCAATGGCATTCCAAGGCCATCGGGCTCTGAGCTTGACCTTTATAGTCATCGCGCACTCGTCATAGTTGGTGCGAGTCAGCGTCGGCCAACTGGTGCCGCTGACCTCCCACACCGTGCGCACGACGACCTCCTGTCGTGGCTAGGCAGCCACAGCAGCGCCGCTGCTGTCGCCCATCTCCAAACGGTCCGTCATCACCAGCGGTTAGTCCGGCGACGTGCTTGTACGGCTTTGATACCACTTGTTGGGCTCGGGATCTCCTACACGGGTGAGCGGACCGTTCATCGGTGTTCTCACACACTATGGCTAGAGGTAGAAGAGGGAGGGCGCACACACACACACAGCACAAGCACCGGCGTTGGCCAGAGCTCTGCGGAGGAGATGACAAAACTGAACTCGCTCTCTTTACTGAGTTGCAGTGAGAAACTATATATACAACTCTACCCATCTAATTCTAGTACACAGACATGCCAGGCTACCATGCTGCTACAGTGACTAGATGTAACAGCAGGACTGACTTTGACACCTACCCCTCTTTGTGGCTACAGTCTTCGCAAGGAGCCTTTCGATACACCGCCCTCATGTGGCTCTGAAAGGCTGTGAAGAGGGGAGCTCTTTTCGACACCTTCCCCGCCAGGCAGATATGAGAGGCAGAGAGCAGCAGATTTCTTTAGTAGGATTACTCAACTTTTTCTTGGTAGCCGTCTGGAAAAAGCCAACCCAGGCCTTGTTTAGATTTCGTCAAAATTCCAAGTTTTTTCACTTTCTCTCATCACATCAATTTTTGGATGCATGCATGGAGCATTAAATATAGGTAAAAAAATAACTAATTACACAGTTTGGTTGTAAATCACGAAACAAATCTTTTGAGTCTAGTTAATCCATGATCGGACAAAGTTTATTAAATACAAACGAAACGTGCTACAGTATCCAGATTACAAAAATTTGCAATCTAAACGAGACCCCATCTAGGAAACACGAAGAATCTACAAAAACAGAGTATGCTAGTCTCTATCTGCTTCAATCCTAAAATCTGAACTACATGCAACTACTCACCGGGGCTTGTTGCTACGGCGTGATGCACACCAACATCATGTCATGCATCGGGGGTGGCGGCCGCATCTCCCACCGTGATCGCGACCGGTCCAATCTCCTCCTCATCCTCCTCGTCGTCGTTCATGCCGCCGTTGCCGTAGTAGTCCACCGCGGGCTCCTCCTCTGGGATCACCTGGTTCCAGACCTTCCAGATCACTAGGCCCTTGGCGTCGGGGTGGAACACGACAGGCGGAACTCCTTCATCCTCCACACCGTCTTCTTGCCGCGGGCCCCGGCCTCGTGGAACGCGAACCTGCGGCGGAACGCGTAGACCTCCCTGTTGCGGCCGACGTACTGCCGAACCCGCTGCAGCACCGCAAACGCGATACCGACGATAGCCGCGACGGGCACCACCACCTGCGTGCCCAACTCGGGCAGGAACGCCGACAAGGCCATTGCCCCCCGCGGCGAGTCCGGGGCTGCCATTGCCACGCCTGCGGCGAGATCCGGGGTTGGAGCTGGCGCGTGCAGGCGGTCTGCGCGGCGGGTGAGGATGCGGAGGCACAGCTGGAGCTCAAGGAGCGGGTTCGGCAGGCGGACACGAAGGTGGACGTGCTCAGGTCGGTGGAGCTCATGGCACGCCAGTGAGGTGTTCGATGAAATGGAAATGAGGTGAGGAAGAAGGTGTGGTGATAAGGCTACCATATTTGTGATGCAGGGTACTCGTATATATTTGTACACAAACAAACATAGAGTGTGTTTGGTTTCCTACCTTTTTCTAGTCTGGCTATGAAATAAGGCAGGCTAGCCTAAGCCTGCTCCTAGCAAGCCAAAAAAACTTGTTTGTTTGCATAAACTATCTAAGCCTGGCTAGCCGCTAGTATGTTTGGTTTGCTGATTTGGCTGGGATAGAGTCACTCTTCATTGTAGAGGTAAGTTTAACACCTTTGAGGCAATGTATCGAACACCTGATGAACACCACTCGAAGAAGGTGTGGTCGACAGGCATTGGTCTTTCAGCGCTGCAACAACACACAGTTGAATTTTGGTAAGCCGAGCACATATCAAGGTCCAGGGATTTCAAACTTTTGCTCGCCACATTCAAGTATTACAGTGTCAGTTTTTACTACAACACTTAAGAGAATACAGAGCGCAGAATCATCATGCTGCCCAGAGAGAGCTACTCCGTTTACCATCGCGCATACCAATTACAGACTTCATGTTTTTACAGGCCAAACTACAGAAGAGTAACAACCTACAACTCACCTCTACATCCTCGTCAGGATTTCCACCAGAACCCAGATCCACTGCTGAAGAATGCCATGGCGTTGGCACAGTTCAGCAACCAGGACCAGGACCAGGACCAGGACCAGAACGCCATGTATCGAACACCTGATGATGAACGCGACCACCTGGAGACTGCCAAGAACACGAATCCGAAGGTGTCCGCCACCCTGCCTTTCCAGAGATGAGCAGCGGCTGAATCCCGAGAACGTCGGGCCGGGCAGCGGTGGGACTGGGGAGGGCGGTGGCAGCGCTCGCGGCTGGGGAGGACGGCGGCGGCGCGAGCGTCGTCGCGACTTGGGAGGGGAGCGGTCGCGGAGATGCAGAGGGCCGCTGGAGAGAGGCCTGTCGGAGAGAGTGCGTGGGGAGAGGGCGCTGGAGAGTGGGCCGCCGGAGAGAGGGCACGGGGAAAGGGGGCGGCCCAGGGCCGTGCGCGCTCCCAGGTGGAGGTTGAAGACGCGGGCGGTGAGGAGACCTCAGTTCGGGGCTTAGCTAAGGCGCTTAGATCCCACCCAAAATCCAAAAATTTTCAAGATTTCCTGTCACATCAAATCTTGCGGCATATGTATGGAGCATTAAATGTAGATAAAAAGAATAACTAATTGCACAGTTTGCCCGTAATTGATAAGACGAATCTTTTAAACCTAAATAGTTCATAATTGGATAATTTTTACCAAATATAAACGAAAGTGCTACAGTAGCCAAAAGCCAAAAATTTTCGCATCTAAACGGGGCCTAAGCCTAGCTCGCACAGAACGGCCGGTCTCTGCGTTTTTTTGAGTCAGGCTAAGAAGTGGTGGGTGCACCGGCGGAGCTACGTAGGGCCATCCTCTTCGATGGGCCATCCTCCTCCATGCAATTTTCTAGAGACTTATGTCAGGTTCGTTTGGCTGATAAGTCATGGCTGAAAGTATTTTTGACTGATTTGTTGTGAGAAAAAAATATTATTCGTTGACTGAAAAAATACGACTTAGGCCTTGTTTAGATGCATCCCAAATTCCAAGTTTTTTCACTCTCTCTCCATCACATCAATTTTAATTGCATGGAGAGTAAAAAAATAACTAAAAGCAGTTTAGTTGGAAATCACGAGATGAATCTTTTGAGCCTAGTTGGTCTACGATTGGACAATATTTGTCAAATAAGACGAAAGTGGTACTATTCATCGGGTTGAAATTTTTTCGCAATCTAAACGAGGCCTTATAAACCAAACGAACTAGGCGTTAAGCCACTAGCACACTTGCCCAGTAAGTCTAGCTGACGTAGGCGCTTCTAACTAAGCATCACAGTTCACTCAGAGTCTCGATGCACTCTCTGATTTTCTTCATCTCCATGACTATGTCTACCGAGGTACTCAAAGCTGCTAGTCTGCTATACATATCTCAATGTAGCTCCACACTCAGCTTGTCGTAAGGTTATCTGCTTCTACGAATGGTCCCCCCTTGATTTGGATGCAAGCTTCGCCACTGGGTTGGTGGTTTCCTGGAGCCTGGTCTGGGCCTCCAAACAGGCAACCAAACACCTGATTGGGACTTAGCAACCCAATCAAACAGGCCCATAGTCTCACCCTCAGTCATCCCTTACTACATCCAGGCCAACAAATAGGTCCAGTTGCACCACTTGAGGCTGCCTCCAGCTGCCCAAGCTGAGTTGGTACGTGTCGGCCACCCTAGTCCTGGCAGTCAAACACGCCCTATGTCTGATCGGCGAGAGGAACCGGGCCCAAATTATCCTGATCCGGACCATGCAATAACATTTTGTTTGTTAACCTGTTTTTGGCTCGCGCAGGCTAGCCGGTGCACGTGATTGGTAGGGTGCTTGGACTACCACTGCTCACATTCCAGAATCCAGAGACCCAATGGCATGCGCGTGCGACGCGGGACTTGGCCATATCCCACGGGCCAGGCCACGGGGTGCACAGAGCCAGGCTCGGACAAGAGCCAAGGACCTGTTTGGTTGCTTGTAGGCGGCTGAACCAGACTCGTAGAATGTTGGAAGCGCGTGTGGTTTCGTGGTCCAAGCATCGAGCCAGGCTCACGACGTGCAACATTCGTCTCGCAGCCAGGCTCTAGAGAGACGTGGGAAGAGACCGTTTCTGGCGGACCTGGTTCACCAGATGCGTTAGTCTCTCACTAATGATGGTATTGAACATATGATTAACTAATATTAAGTAATATTAGTATTTTTAAAAGATAGTTAGGATTTAACGAGGCAAACTAAGAGCTGTGGAAATATACTTACACAAAATAATAAACATTATAATGACACCTTTTTTAATATTTTATGTCAAACCCTCGTGTAGGCAATCAAATACCATATGTCTTTAGCCTAGCTAGATTCATACAGGCAACCAAACACGCTAGCAGTGGTGGAGCTTGAAGGTGATTCAAGAGGGGGCCAACAGCATTCAAGTTATCTCTAGTGTGCAAATCTCTAATATTTCCTAAGCATTAACCATAAACATCACCATCATTAAAAAAAATCAATTATTAGGGGGGGGCGTGTGACCCACTTTGGCCTCTAGGTAGCTCCGCCAGTGCACGCCAGACTTGCACACACTGAATCTAGCTTGACAGCCTGGCTCCTTGGCTCGCCAGAGAAGAGAACCAAACAGGCCCTAGGAAACCAAACAATGCGGACCTGCACGCTACAGGGCTGGCGAAGGGGGCGCGCGGGCTACAAAACATATACCCTACATATTGTGTTCCTAAAAAACTATATATTTATCATTGATAAAAAACACATACTAAATTTTTACCATTCTTACTGACGTGAGGTCTCATGTAAGACCTCTTTAGCATAGAGAAGAGTAGGGCACTAACCTCTAATCATTTTCACTGATTTGGCGTGCCATATACATGTCGGTGAAAATGGCAAAAAGTTAACGTTTTTTCTTTCCAAAGTTAAATATGTAGTTTCTTGTGTAAAATTAGCAAACGAAGAGTTGACATATGTAAAGACGACAAATACTCTCTTCGTCACAAAAAAAATTCATTCTCGTGTTATGAGGAGTTAATCCATCTCAAATTTGACCAATTTTATAAAAATATTAATATTTATGATACGTAATAAATGTCATTAGGTAGATAATAAAATAAGTTTTTATAGATTTTTAGGTATAAATATTAATAGTATTTTCTACTTCATCCATTTCTGAATAAATTAATTCGTAGAGTTGCCTTAAGTCAATTTTTAATTTGGTTGAATTTATAGAAAAAAGCGACAAGAATTATAACACTAATTTAGTATCATTAGATATATTGTGTTTTGTTAAGAATTAATCATCTCAACTTTGGCCAATTATATGAAAAATATTAATATTTATAGTACATAATAAATATCATTAGATAGATAATAATATATTTTTATAATGCTTTTTGAGGTATAAATATTGTTAAATTTAAGAAAAGATAACTTCTAATTCTAGGGTGACATTTTTTTAAGAATGAGGGAGTAGTTAAGGCCCTCTTTGGCAATAGGGTCAAGAGGCTTGAGCTTCTCCTGACGCATGTAATGTACACTATTATGTGTCTCTGTTCATGACAAAACGAACTACCAAAGAGGAGAAGCCAGTGAAGCCAGTCTGGAGAAGCTTCACTGGCTTCTGATGCAGTAGCGCTCCAGTGTAAAAGCCAAAGCTACGGTATAGAAGTCGAAGCTCCTACAAACCCCGTCAAAGAGGCCCTAAATATCCCTAGTGACCGTCGCTCTCTTCCTCGTGGGTCGTCTCCCGCATCCCATGCCGGCCTTTTTTGTCACTAGGCAGGCATTGAATATGCGATAGGCGGAAGGTGATACGTACTCATAGGGACTAGGGAGCAGTGGTGGTCAAATAATGAGACAGCTGGCTCCAGCCATTGTTGATGCCTACATGAATCGTTGCTCGTTATTAGGGGCGTATTTTGGTTGGCTGGATGGCGGTTGTCTGTATTCCATCCTGGCCCTAGCCTGGCACGCGCATCTTCCTCACCGCATCCTGGCTCATGATCTGTTTCTGGCTGGCCTAGCTCACGCGCGCAGGCAACGTGATCGTGCGTGATAGAGCGGTGATTCATGCTGGGCATTTTCACCCAAAAACCAAACCGAACCGAACTAGAATGTTGTTTTTTTTTTTTTTGGCTTCGGCTTCGGTTTCTGTATTCTGAAACTTTGGTCATTGGCTTTGACTTCGGTTTTCACTTCAAACCGAACCGTAAATCGAGCTTCAACGAACGAGCGACCTATGAGCGTTTAGTAGGCCACCGAATAAGTGACCTGTGTGAGTGTCTGTCTCCCTCCCGCAGCCCCGCTACCGGCTCGGTAGCCCACCTCACCACCCCATCCCAAGCAAAGGCCACCAAGGCCTACCATCGCTACAACTACTCCCCGCTGTCCATCAACAGCCATGAGCCCACAACACCCGGCCACAACGCATTCCAAACCCTAACCTACCTATGGCAGTGTGTCCGAGTGACGATGGCACTTGTGATTTGCGAGCAAGGAGTGGTGACGACGTGGACCGAGCCGCTGAGTGCGTGCACTGTTGTTGTGCGGGACTCCGAGTTGCGACCTATGGGCGGTCGGGCGGGGGCGGCGTTGCGGCGAGCATGGGTGGTATGGCCGCGTGCGAGGCTGCGAGCGCCGGGCGACGCGGACGGACAGTGGTTGGGGGCGGCGCGATCGCTCGTGCCACCTCTAGGGAACATGGCATCCGAGCAGTGAGCAGCGGGGCAAGCGGCAAGAAGCAGCATGGCGCTATGGAGAGGGAAGGAGAAATTTTGGTAGAAACCGAACACCGAATCGATTACGTTGAAGCGAAATCATCAGTTTCTTTTTCTTTTTACAGCCGATCGGTTTTCAATCTTTGTGCAAACCGAAGTTTTCTCAAACCATTGAAATTGAACCAAACTGTCTGTTCCACCCTGGAAGACGCGATGATTCATGGATGCCACGCGGACGCCATCAACCACACTCCATTCCCTCATACGACCTCTGCCGACAGATGCCTCAAATGCTTCACTGAGCGAATCACAAAGGAGAGGCAACCACCACTCCTGGAGCAGCCCGAGAGATGATACGGCCCATGGCGGATGTGCACCGCCCGTGCTCCCCAAGAGGAGCAAGCGGATAGCGGCGCAGAGCATATCACATATCCCGGCGTCCAAGCGAGGTGAGCATCTTGTCTTGAAGCGCCTAGGACTATCAAGCGGGATGTCCTCTCCGTCGACGTCGGCCCTGAAGGTGTACGAAGAAATCTTCAACGGTGACCCTGGTAATATGCAGACATTACGTGAGTTGTTCTCAGCGGACGACGTGGGTGCGCGCAAAGCATAGGCCTCCTAGGCGGCGCCGCAATTTTGGTTGCTCAGTGTCTAATATAACAGTGTAGCTTTCAGTACACTAGGAAGGGTCCAAGCGTCCATGTACAACTCTTCTGACCCCTTAGGGCGCTACTAAGGCACGCTGTATTAAACTTTTTCTCTACCTTAAATTGAGAAAAAAGTACCAGTTCAACAGCATCTGAAAATAATATTCTCCTAAGGGACGGTCTGGTGCAAAAACTTGTTACAGCAATATGAAATTAGAACAACAGAAACTTGTTACAACCACCATTATTGACTACTAGTAATATTTAGCTGATTGTTATGTATCCACTATCCAGAAATTTTAGAGGGGCACCTGTAATTTTGTCAGTACATAGGACATCTCTGAACTTGTCTAGATTGTTTGTTTATGAAGTTATAATCGTACTGTTACTCCCTCAATTAAGTATAGTGGCATTACTGTTTTCTCTTTACAAAACTGCATCTGTTTTCACCTGTAAATGTTTACATACCTGCAGATTCAGAACATGAAACTGAGAGCAAATTATACTGTTGAATCAGATGTAACTTTCAGGATATTATGTATCAAAGCCAAAGCAAGTGATATTTGCTACTAGAGTTAAATATACTGGCAATCCTTGAACTCGTGGCGCTATGCCACTTAGGTCCACGAACATTAAAAATCGAAATCTGTCCCCCTAAACTTGTTAAGTCGTACACCACACGTCCATAACCCCTGGGAGGCACCTTCCATCCTACGTGGCAGTGCCAACATGGAGGCTGAGCAAATGTGATCCGCTCATGTGGACTCTAAACCCTTGCGCAATATGCAGCAAGCCCCTTCCCTTTCCCCGAATCCGATTTCATTTGCTCGTCCTTTCTCCGAAGGATTCAACATGAAGGATGCAAGAATCGGCCTGTTCGCTTGTTGGTTTCAGCCAGAGCTTATCAGCCAGCCAAGAGTGTTTTCCTCTCACAACAAACCAGCACCAGCTGGGCTTATCAGCCCAGAAACCAACCAGCGAACGGGCTGAATATGTTAACCTGAAATATGAGAAGAGAATTGCATTGCTTTCTTGACTAGCATGAAATTTGATAATTGCATTGCTGTCTGGAAACAAGACAAAGGATTACTCAGTTTTTTTGGTAGCCGTCCTGAAAACTCCAACCCATTCTAGTACTAAACTTGCAATACAAAACCAGAATTGCCTGCTATCCATCTGCTTCAATTCTGAAATTCTGAACCGCATGCAACTGCTCCCCGAGGCCCGTCGCTACGGCGTGATGCACACCATCACGGAGTGGGGGCGGCGGCCGCATCTCCCACCGTGATCACAACACCTCCGATCTCCTCCTCCTCGTCATCGTCGTCGATGTTGTGTTCACCGCCAGCTCCTCCTCTGGGATCACCTCGTTGTAGACCTTCCAGATCACCAGGCCATTGGCGCTGGGGTGCCGTGGAACACGACGCCGCGGTCGCGCAAGGCGGGCGCAGTCTCGTTGAGGCGGTATTCCTTCATCCTCCACACCGTCTTCTTGCCGGGGTCCCCGGCCTCGTGGAACGCGAACCTGCGGCGGAACCCGTAGACCTCCCCGTCGTCGCCGACGTACTCCTTCTCGGCGCCGTACCGCCGCCAGCACCCACCAGCTGCCACGTCCCGGACGTCGTCCTCGCTGCCGCCCCCCACGCCGGATCCTCCTCCCGCCGCCGCGGGCCGCGTGGTGAAGTAGTAGTCCCAGACCTTGTCGTGCAGGCCCCTGTTGCAGCGCGGGAACGGGAGCGCCTCCGGCCGCACGGCGTACACGTCGACGACGTCGGCGACGAAGCCCTGGTAAGGCTCGTCCGGGACGCGGCCGAGCGCCATGGGGAGGAGGTAGCGCTTGAGGAGGCAGGGGCCATCGGGATGGAAGACGCAGCCGAAGGGCAGCTCCGGGAGGGGCCGCGGCGCCTGGACGGGTGCGGTGGCGCCTTCCGGTGTCCGCGCCATGGATGGATCGCTCACGCTCACTGTGCCGGGTTGCACTGAGAACCTGAAACGGACGATGGAAGCTTCTGGAGTCGCCGCCAGATTTTAATTCCCCACCAAGATCACGGACTCGCCACGCCCCTTGAGCTTCCAACGCTGCTTCGGCGCTTCGCCCGAGCAGCGCAGGAAACCGATCGAATCAGATCAAAACTGACAAACGTGTTCCTATGGCCTGCAAGATACCTGTGCTGGGCTTTCCAGCAGCAGGCGCAGCCGCAGCCGCAGCCGCAGGTAAAAAGTCTATTAGTACCCCGACCGAGCCGCCAGCCTTGGAAACCAGACCGCCCCGCTCAGCTCTGCTGCTCCCGCCTGAGATCCACCGCTCCGGCGTCGCACTCCTGGCTGCTCTGCTCCCGCTGATGAGTAAGGGCAGCTTGCTGCTGTGCTCGCTGGTGCTGGTGCAAGTCTGCATCGTCCAGCTGTGCCTGATCTCGAGCTGGCAGCTGACCGCAGGCCAGGCTGGGGGCAAGTTTTTGTGCCACCAAGATCCGATCGGGAGGCCGCCGCGGTTGATGTCAAACCATGGCCGCGAGGAGCTCCACGGCCGCAGCTCTGATTGGATCTTCGACGAGGAGCTCGCTGACGAAGGGTATGCGAGCGACGGTGGAGGCGTGCCTTCGGAGGAGGAAGAGGGGTGGCTGCCTGACGATGACGGCGGCGGTGGAGCCAAGGGCAGCAGCTCCGGTAGCGGCGGCGGTGATGTCGAATGTCCCGAGTGCGGGAAGTTCTTCAAGAACGATAAATCTATGTTCGGCCATCTCCGGAGTCACCCGAACAGAGGCTACAAAGGTGCTACTCCGCCCGTGAACAAGCTGAAGCTGTCGCCGGAGACGGCCGCCGCATCGCCTTCTTCCCCATCTCCGTCTCGAGGTACCCATCAACCAAGCGCCCGACGCAATCGTCCGCTAACCCCGTTCGAGCTAGTATGTACCTACGCAATGCTCACTTTGCCATACCCAGAGAACAGTCAGCCAACCCAACAGGTGCCGCCGCCGCTGGCGCCGCCTTCTTTTTGCGAAACAAATGTCGGTGTCATCGAACAAGGTGTAGGCACCAGTAATATGACAGCTGCTGAAGCACACGCTGATCAATACGGTGGCTCCATTGTGAAAATCCCCAAGAAGAGACGTAATATGCTCAAAGAAATCAGCGAGGCAGATAGGAAGAAGACGAAGCAGACGAAGCTTGTGCCACCACCACCTCCGAAGGAGAAGGGTCCGTACATCTGCAAGTATTGCTACGCAGAGTTCTCGACGCACCAGGCCCTGGGTGGGCACATGGCTGGCCATCACAGGGACAAGAAGGTCCACACACTGAACGATGCCTCGTCCACGGCACACCAGTCGTCCAGGGCACACCAGGGCATGGCTGCCCAAAGCCAGGATGGGAAGCTGCAAGTTAAAGGCGGTGGTGACGATGACGACGGTTGGCGTGACAGCGGTCTGTCTCTTCGAAGGGGCCCAGGCATCTCCATGGCATCGAACGTGCCGCGGCAGTCTGGGCAGGCGTCGGGAGGGCAGATGATAAAGATGAGGCAGCAGCACTCAGGAAGGAGGAGCGATGGCCTGACATTGGCAGCGCCGGCGCTGGCACAGACTCCGACTCAAGCAGACGACAGAGGTGGGCGAAGGCTGTTGAACATTGACCTCAACGCCGAGGCTACAGAACAGGAATAGAAGGCACCCAAATCTTTTGAGTGTTCATTCAGAAGAGTCAGAATACTTTTTTTTTTATTCAGATAATAAAGAGACTTGCATGCTGTATGTAGCAACTTATTATGTAGTTGTTTGTGAAAACAGTTTGTGCCTGTATCTAGAGAACAGCAACAAGCAGCAGCAGCATCATCCCAGATGATAAATCATGAGGTCAAGGATTGACTCAGGTTTTTTTTTTTCATAGGCAACAGGAGGGTTCACCTACTAATTAATATACATATTAGAGAGAAGAAGGCAAAGTCTCAGTGCAATAGATCAAGAAACAAAGAGAAAAAATACACAAAATTCTGTAGCCATGTTTCTATGAGAGGAAGGTAAGCTTTTTTAGCACAATGGAAAATAGATGACAATTGCAGAAGTGTCTTTGAAAATATCTTTGCATTAGGGTGTAGTGTAGTTGGTGCATCCCTCTGAAGATGAAATTGTTTCTCAATGACCAAATACTCTAGCACATAATGATTATTGATTTCCATAAAGAATGGAAAACTGCTTCAAACCTTATACAAAACCTCAAAAGGATTATGGTTCGTCTAAATTTGTGATAGTACACTTCATTCTCTTATGCTTGTTGCTGTGATAATTTATTTTTAAACCTACCTTCCATTAGAAATAGCATGGCAAAAATTTGATAACGAGTATTTATTGACCTTATGCTGCTTTCATTAGAAAAATAGTATCATCGGCATATTGCATATGGGTGATGCCTCCCTAGATCAGATGTGGCACAACCCCTTTAGGACACCCTCTTGTTTAAGTTGTTTAACTTTAAACAAAGTGTGCTCCAAAGCATCCTCAACCAGATTGACGAGAAAAGGAGATAAATGGTCTCCCTGTGTTAGTGCGTGCACACATGTTGACCTAACAAACACAGCCTAAGCTTGACCAGTGTATGGCACAATCTACCTTTCCTCTTGCGTGTGTGGCTTCATATCTTGCTGATGGAAGAGAAGAACAATCGCCTTGATGGTCTCCACACCTTAAAGAACCTGCTTCTCCAGCTCAGAGCCCTACCCAATATGTAATAAAACAACACATCATACAGATAATCTCAGTAGGAGATTTGACTCTCTTTTTTTACCAAACCAGGTTGCGTTCCTAGTCCTCCAAATGGCCCAACATACAACAGCAAGGCCCATAGCATAGATAAGATTACCATTTGGTAAATTGATTTTGATCCAAGCCAAATATTGGTCAAAGGTGCTAGGCCTACATCAGCCCCTATTGCATAAACAACCAAACTCCACACATATTTAGCAGTAGTACATAAAAAAGAGGTGATTTACACTTTTCTTTCTTGTGCAAAAGGCACAAGATACATTTCTTTTGTCAAGATGGCTTCACAAAGGGTAAGCCATAGGAAGACTTTGACTTTCAAAGGAAAGTTAGCTTTCCAAATGTGTTTGAAGCTTAGCCCAAACTCATTGCTACTTAAGTGTTTGTATGTCGATTTAACAGAGAATAACCTAGATTTCTCCCAATCCCATCTTGCTTATCCTGAATTTCATTAGTGGAGCATCTAAACAGTATGTCTTGCAACCTCCTCAGCTGATTTTATAACTCCTCATGCAACCATTTTCTAACGGTAAGGTGCCAGTTTTTCAACCTCATAGTGTATACAGAACAATCTTGTTCATTACTTGTCTAAAAAAGGTAAGGAGATTTGTCCTTAAGTGACACTTGACCACACCATTTATCATACCAGAAGCTTGTATGTTTACCATTTTCAATCTCCATACTTCAATTCTGCTCTTCATATAGATGTGTTTTAGATATTTCTTCCTGGCAATTTCTTGCCAAATGCCACTGCCATTTTCAATCTTCCACCACCATTTACAGAGAAGACTGATGTTCATTCTTCTCAGATTTTTAATCGCTAAACCCCTTTCTACTTAGGTTTAGTGATCCTGGCCCACTTGTGTAACACCACCCTAAACAAACCCATTAAACCATGTCATGAGCATCATGTTTATGTTATAAAGCATGTGATAAAGTGTGTAGATTAATTTCTTGTAACCTAAAATGATTAATAAAAATGTTAAATGAAAGTTGATTCAATAGCTCATGTATATCAAGTAGGGTTGAAAACCAATTTTTATTAAGCGAAAGCATTATAGAACATGTGTGTAACACTTAAATAAAGTTTGGAGTATGGACTTTGTAGATGATAATGAAATCATTGCTGTTGAAAAATAACTTCGCTAGCCAATGCTTCTAATGGCCTAGAAATAAAACTTGGAATCAAGTTCAGCTCAAAGACTTAGAATATTTTCAAGTTTATAGATAGCAAGACAATGTCATGTTTGGCAATTTATTTTGTGAAATCGAGTTAAGGGATGGTGTCGTGTTTTAGCTCGAGTTGGTAGCCTCATATGCCATCTTGAGCATGGTGAAGACGGTTTAAGTCCAGAAGCAACCGTTTAGTTGTTATAGGCGCTTTAAAATTCGTGCAAGACGTGATTTCGGGCTAGTTCACCGGGTGAGCGCGGTCACCACGTCTCGGGGGCACGACGTCGCCAAGCCGGCTCGCTCTGCTTCGCTGGCGCTCAGCGTGCTTGCCGCAGCGTGTCGATTGCGACTACTACTCGTCCTAGCCGCCATCGGCTCTCACTGCGTGGAGCCGCCGCCGCTTTTCAGACTTGCAAGCCAAGACCGCCACCGCTTCGCCACGCTACGCTACGCCTAGCCGACCCGCCTTTGTGTCGCCGCGCGCAGCGCTGCAGGTCTTTGTCGCGTCCTTTGTCATGTCGGTGTCTCCCTCTGCACCCCTACCCCGCTATTGGCCCGGTTTGGTGCTCGCCGCTGCCGCGCGCACGTGATGGAGCTCAGCGTTGCCTTGCCATTTATGGCACTGCTGCCGCGTGGGCCATGCCGGTCAATGGACACACGTGCTTGTCCGATTGCGTCCACGCGTGTGACGCCCTGATCGCGCCGATCACATCCCACCAAGGCGAGGCCATGCTGAGCCCACCTGTCGGCCCTGTCTCCCTCTTTCTCTCTGCTGATCGTCGTCGAGCCATGCCACCAAATTACCCAGCGATCGATCACCTCCATTCAATTCATCACATCCATGGCTTCACCATCACGTCCTCTCGCTACCCGACCCCACCCAGCCATGAAGAAGACACTGCCAAAGCTCCAATTTGAAGCTTTTCCCCACCGCCGTGCCATTAAGGCCGCGCTCGGCCATGGTCGAGGGCAGCCCTCCTACCGCCCATCCCAAACCAATTCACCTGCACCACTAGCTTCGCCTTGACTCCCTCTTCACCCTACACGTCTTAGCCGAACCGCTACCGCCTCCCCATCGTCGCTGACTTGACCGTGCCACCGCGGTGCGCCGCCGCACGGCTCGGCCGCACGTGGCCAGCCCTTCTTCGTCACCCTCTTCTCCACCCACCACCTTGGCCAGGTCTATAGTAGCCTCCTGATGCTCACTTGCTTGCCAGTTAGGTCCTTAGGTGCTCTGGTTCATCGGGGCAGTCGTGCCACCGTCATGGATGGCCGCGCACCGCCGCAGCTGACTCCAGCGCGTCCCGCCGCCCCACGTTGCTGCTAGGCGTAGATGGTGGGACCATAGTTGAATGTCGGCCTGACCGACAAGCCAGTGCGGGTCTCTGGTGGTCGGCGTGGCCACTCCATGCCACCGCTCGACGCGCCGTCGGGCACGTGTTAGCCGGGGGTGCACGCGGGGGAATTCCAGGGAAGCCAGAGGGTTAAGTGAGAAGGTCTGAGAGAGAAGAAAATATTGTTAGTACTTAGTTGTAAATTGGGAGGAGTTTGAGGTCTCTTTTGCAAAATCACTAGCGCGCGCGAGCTTTCCCCGGCGCGGGCCGTCTCCGCATGGGCCGGTGTCCGCGTGGGCCATATCTATGGGCCGCCACACGAGCGCTGGGCCACGCGGGCCGCGTGTGTGGTCCGTGCGGGAGATTCACTTTTCCTTTTTTTTCTAAGGAATTAGAAATGGTTGTCTAATTTAATTTTAGAGCTGATCTTTGATAATTAATATAAAATTATATAGTTGTCCAAAAATTATGAAACAAATTTTGTTAGATTCCTAAAGTTGTGATCTATGTGTTGGTGTATTTAGTTCATACTTATATGTGTTGATATTAGGAGTTATTAAATCGTTTGAGAATGTTTACCAATATTAAGTTAATTATTGTAAAAAAATTTATGGTAAATTGGTGATAACTTTAGTCCTAAAATTTTTATTGTAGTTTCATTGTATTATTATGTGCCCACTGTAATTTTTGTAGCCTTAGAATAGACTAAGCATTATGGTAGTTAAATGCTCTTTGTTTCAATATACATTAAATCCCTAGTAGAAATAAAGATATATCCTTAATTTTTTAAGTTAAGGGTTTGTTAGTTGAACCCAACACTTTGCTTGATGAAGATGATAGCTAGCTTAGTATCTTAGTCATTAGAGCTAGCTTAGTAGCTTGGTGTGCGTATTCTTATTTTAAGAGTTGTTGTTGTCTAAATGCTAAATAGTTGCATCATCATCGCATGCATGTAGAGAGCGAGTTGGTGGAGATAGTAAGCACATACGATCATGAGTTCGAGGAGATCGTCGAGGAATATAAGGAGGAGGTCCTCATGGGGGAGGAGGTCCGGAGCCACCACCGACTGACTCGGCTGACACCGCGCCTGCCCAAGGCAAGTCCCGGTGTATAACCCTTATTTTTGATAATCACTATATGTATATATGTGATGTGTATTTACGTTACAGGAATTTTATGGAAACCACATGCATAGATATATCTGTCCTATGAGTCTTACTAGTGTAGGTTCAAGTAGCTGTTATGCTTAGGTTTTTGATAGCGTGAGTAACCTGCCGTTACTCACAATAGGTGATTATTATAATTACTCTTATGATAAAAATGATGAAAGGGAAATGGAGATCGGGTAAGGATATGGTTTGGGTATTGGTGGGTGTAACGAGTTGTGTCCTGCGGTCACGG